AGCCTGTGGACGGCCTCTGGTGTTTGCTGCAGGACATCGCCAATGTCTTACAGGTAACTTTTTAAAAGCATACCCCACACTCAAATATCTCAGTTAAATAGGGCTTTTTTCAACAATTTGAATGAGATTATACGAAATCTATAATTTGTTATAAAGTAAGGAATATTAAAAATAAACAGTAAAATCAAACCTTTTCGTCTTTGAGATAACTCAATATTTATTTTATAAAATTCCAGATAAAATCAAAAGATAGCCTGCTGAAACAGATACACTGTGGTTCTGGATCACCGAAGGAGTTGCTTCGCGAGATTCGAACCCAGGAGTTCTTGGAGAGGGCGCAGTGCCACCAACTGCTGTGCGCCGGGGAGAAGGTCAACGTGCGAGCCTCCAAGGTGGCCCTCATCAGGGTCACTGACAAGCTCCGACAACTCCTGAAAATAGAGACAGTACTCGTTAGCTGATATTAGTTAAATGCTTAATTATGTGTTCATAGTGTGCATTATATAAACTTACTAAATTTTAATTAAAATTATGTGAACACAAATATAATTAAGGTGTGTCGTTAACTTAATCGGTTGTTATGTGTTGTAAGGGAAAAACATTAAAAAGCCCAATTTCCAATGAATAAACTTGTAACACAATAGGAAATACAAATTTTACATGCAAGATTTTATTGAAAACAACCGTTCCAAGTAATAAATTAGACAATAGAATATAATTTGTAGACTAATGTGCTTATTGTTGTATGAAAATGCATAATACACACCATTTTACATAACAATTCCAAAAGATCTTGAGACCGACCTGATTTGACTGATTTATCATAATGAACAAGGATGTATCTCATGTAAGAACAAACAAAGAATATTCGATTTATGAGACTGTGTAATTTAAGGCAGCCATTATGTATTCATGTTAGTTTGCTTTGAGTGTGAGAGGTGTACTCTCGAATTCTTTGTACATTCTGTATATATTGTATATAGTTTAAATGTCGCTTATGTATGATATTCTCATGGGTGCTATTTAATGTTGGTGTTTGGTGTATGGGTTAGATGTTAGTCAAATCAAGTGCAACAGCACGATAGTAATTATGAAATTAATTTAATGAGATAGTTACCATAGTGTTATATAAGTGTTTAGCATAATTTGATCTGTGTGTGCAATAGGAGGCGTGGGTAGATGAATTTTGTAACAGATGGCCGGCACAGGGTTGGAGAAACAACTTTTGTACAATAACATGAGAACCAAATGTTTAACATAACCTAAAATGTTTATTACTGTTACTCAATGATTCTGTGACGTCATCGGACTCTCTCATGTTATCGTCCACAAGTACTTACATGTTAACATTGATACAACCTGACCGGTATTTTCGCACTAAATTTGCAATATTCCTCAATATGTGCTAGAATATTAAGATCTCATATTTTCTGATACAGCTATGAGTGTGATCATTAATTTAATTGTTAATGCAGTTCTGTGTGTGTAAAATTATCTGCAAATAGTAAAGTATTCAGTTTCAAGCATTAATAAATTGTTGTGTACTGTTATTGTTTGCACTGTCATACATGTTTTGAGATTATGCTAGGGAATATTTTTTTTCTATCTTCTATTATTTAGTGAGTACATTTTTTGTTCATTGTTATGTTTGCCAATATTTGTCTACCCGAAATACGTTTTATTATTGTACAATTATTTACAATAATTAGAATATCGATTTATGTTTATTATTTATACAATGCTATAAAAGAATTAGGAAAATTTTTATCAAACATGCATATCGCAAGAAAATTTATTAACAATGTAAATATAAATACGATTGAAACTATTTTCTAACTTATTCAGTGATATCTTGTCTTAGAAATGTCCGTTACGACTTACCTACAGCGCGTATACGGCATTTATATAGTGTGTACAAGTAGCATTTTGGGACAGCAATTTTTATTTTATATTCCGCATTTGAGACCTCCGTTCCGCCCTATATTTCTTAATGAAGACAAGAAACGAACAAGTACATGATAAATCTGTGATGAAATAATTTAGGGAGATAATCTTGTGCGCGGAAATGGTTTGAAGATAAATTATGATGAACTGATGATGAACAGTTGTCTAATCACAATGTAATGCCTCTCCGTTGTTAGCAGTACATACAGTATAAGTATTATTATAATAATTATTGACACAATACTTCTTGTTGGTAACATGAAAATAAAGAAAGTGATCAATTTACATGTATTTTATTCCACCTATAAAATTATCCTGTACGAAAGATAAGATAAAAAAAGTATGTTATCCACTCTTATGCGTCCCCTAAGTCAAATCTACTTCCCATTCTCGTAATAAAATGAAAATTTATGCTTCTTTTTGTATGTGTTCCTAAGGGTTTAAACTGTAATGACACTTGTATTGATACATATTGCTATCACTCAAATTCTTTTATAAAAAACAAAGACAGCAATATGACTCAAATCATTACGATCAATTCGAATCTTAATTAATCTTTGACATGCAATATCTCTTTTGGAAAATCGATTTTATTAATCGTAATCTTGTATTAAAAAAGTCGATGTCTCGACCAGTAATTTTTAAAAATCGGTGTTCAGCGCGTTTTAAATTTACAGTTTTGAACTAAATTCATTTTATGTAAAATAAGAAAGGAAATTACTTCTTTGCAAGCAACTTTTTCATAGGTCAAAATTCCCTATGCTGATTCCTTCTCGTTTTATTTAAACAATATTTCTAACAAAACAACGAAAAAGTTTCGGTTCAGTTTATTCGAACCAGATCATACATCGATTTTTGCGGCCCGAGAAATCGATTCATCAATTTGATAATCTACTCTTTGACTCACTCAACGATCACGGAACACCGTTTACCGTTTACGTTTTTGTGCATAAAAATAGGGCGAGGCAATTTCTTGTTTTAGTTAAATACATTGTTGAACTTTTAGGAAAAAGGGTTTGTTAAAGCAGTGCCCCTTTAAAGATGTGGTGACTACACCATGGTGTTAAAACAAAGTTGTTGTGCTGTTCTGCTCAATAAAAAGAAAAATATGGAGTGTTTTATTATTACATTGGCCGTTATACATTATGCCAGAAGTCAGGGAATGGAAACTTCAATGCCATTTAATCCGAATTATAAACAACAACAGGACCAAAGTCTAAACGGGTCAGTATATCGACCGAATCCACAGGTGCCGTACGGTAGTTTTCCTGTTAACGGAAATGAATACGTCCAGCCTCAGAGTTCTTTTTATCAGAACAGCGCTAACTCTGATACTTACAACGATGGAGACAACGATGTTGATCCCCAAAACACAGCTAATTATTATGCGGGCTTAGACTATGAGGAAAGGTATAGGTGTCCTCCTAATTGGATGCGCTACAGAGAATCATGTTACCGATTCACAAAGTCGCCGGATCGACCAAGGAATGAAGCTCGTAAAATTTGCCAAGCGTTTAGCGCCGACCTCGCATCGGTTAACACTCCCGAAGAGCACGGGTTTATTATCACCAACCTCATGAAATTAGATCCTCAGAAAGGCTCATGGTATATCGGTGCACATCAACAATCTCCAGGTTATTGGGCTAATGAAGGCGATGGATCGCAATTGACAGGTTTAGAAAATGCCTTCTTTGATGATCATAAATTAACATTAACAAGCTATAATCTGTATCCACTCGATTACTTAGTTTATAGATTTATGCAAGAGGAAGGACGCTGGGGGCTGGCTCCGGTGGAGGGCACACAGTATTACCATTTTATTTGTGAAGGCCAGACACAAAGATTGCATTATTTAATTGAAGAAGAGAGATCATTCACATATGGTTTAGACAGATTTGATCCAGAAGCTATACCGAGAGGACCATTCTTAACTAAAGAACCTGTGGACACTATCTATGATCCATTGAGGAATCATTATGTTCAGTTGACCTGTATTGCGGGTGGATTTCCGGCTCCAACGTACAAATGGTTTAGAGAAGATTATCAAGTTGATAAATTGGTTTTTACAGAAATAGATCCATTACAAGATTCAAGGTTCATATTAAGTGGCGGTACACTGATGATTTATAATCCGAATGCGGAAACAGACAATGCACAATACCACTGTACAGCTTCTAATAAATTTGGCACTGTCCGATCTGAATCTGTGAGATTGTCATTTGGTTTCATAAGAGAGTTTAACCAAAAGAGACCTATTGAGAGTGGTAATCAGTACTGGGGTAAAGTAATGTCTTGTGACCCTCCTTCATATTACCCATCAGTTAATTTCCTATGGGCTAGGAATTATTTCCCCAACCTTGTTGAAGAGGATAAAAGAGTATTTGTATCATATGATGGTGGTTTATATTTTTCAGCTCTTGAAACCATAGATAGGGGTAACTACAGTTGTAATGTAATGAGCAAGGTTTCAGACGCAGGAAGAAATGGACCCTTTTTCCCCTTGTATGTATATCCACATTCCGATTATCAACAACTTAAGTTTCCAAATAATTTTCCAAAAGTCTTTCCCGATGCTCCTGTTGTAGGCCAAGAAGTGAGGTTGGAATGTGTCTCTTTTGGCTATCCTGTACCATCATACAACTGGACAAGGAAGAATGGAAACATACCGAGAAAAGCCCACTTTAGTAATTTCGACCGAGTTCTGACCATCCCTAATGTGGGAGTAGAGGATGAAGGTGAATATGTGTGTGATGTACGCAATGACAGAGCTAACATACACAATAGTGTGTTTTTGAAAGTTCAAGCCGAGCCCAACTTTACTATACCTCTTGCCAACAAACATATGGACAACAAGGGAGATCTGCACTGGAATTGTGAAGCATTTGGTATTCCAGATGTTAATTACACATGGTGGAAAAATGGTGTCAAACTCTCTATGGATACATTAGAGGATGAAGATAGAGATAGGTATATTATACAAGACAATGTGTTAATAATTAAATTCTTGGACCCAACCAGGGATCCTGGCATGTATCAATGTGAAGCGAAAAATCAATTAAAAGCTAAATATTCCACTGGCCAGTTGAGGGTTTTATCACTAAAACCATCATTTAAAAAGAAACCTTTAGAATCCGAAACTTATGGGTCAGAAGGTGGTAATGTAACACTAAGATGCAATCCAGAAGCGGCACCTAAACCTACTTTTACTTGGAAAAAAGACAATATGGTTATTGGTGCTGGGGGTAAACGATTCATTACAGAGACTGGTAATCTGATTATCAGGCAGCTATCCCGAGATGATGAAGGGGTCTACACTTGTGTCGCAAAGAATCAGTATGGATCTGATGAGAGCAGGGGTCGTCTTATAGTTTTAAGGACCCCACGATTCCTGGAGCGCCTTCCGCCCCGGATAACAACACAAGTTGGTGAAGTTATTTTCTTACATTGTAATGCCGAAATTGATCCCATCTTGGACACAGCTTATCTTTGGAATCATAACGGAATGAGACTTAAGGATGAATCAGATATGTATGCCGACAGGAGAATAAAAATAGATGGTGGAGAGTTAACCATTTTTGATGTTTCGCTATCCGATGTCGGGGACTATGAATGTGTCGTCAAATCTGCTATTGGGCGTATTTCATCTCGCACTCAATTGCGAATCGAAGGACCGCCCGGGCCACCTGGCGGATTGCAGATAATGAACATCGGACGATCGTCTATCACTCTGGAATGGACTGACAGTAACTCCAATGGTCGCCCTGTGACTTCGTACGTCCTCACCGGTCGGACTCAGTGGAATTCTTCATGGTCAGTGATTAGTGATAACATTGGTAACATAATAGAGGTAGATCGTTACAATGGTCGAAAACGAGCGATTATAAACACGGCCCTTATGCCCGGATCAGTTTACGAGTTTAGGGTTCAGGCTGTTAACGCGTTGGGGGTAGGAAAACCGTCCTCACCGAGTCCACAGTTCTCGACGTTACCCGACAAGCCGTACCAAGCTCCGGCCAAGGTGGGCGGGGGCGGGGGAAAGATTGGCGATCTTACCATCACTTGGACGCCGCTCCCGGCTCACCTTCAAAACGGACCAGGCATACACTACAAAATATTTTGGCGCAGAAACGGCACTGAAGTTGAATTCCAGTCGCTTCTGCTCAAAGAATACGGTAACGTGGGGATGCATGTCGTTCATGTTTCGTTGAATTACTTCTACACGCCGTACAATGTGAAAGTGCAAGCCCTTAACAGTTTGGGCGCGGGGCCAGAGAGCGAGGTGGCCACCATCTACTCGGCGGAGGACATGCCTCAGGTAGCGCCGCAGCAGGTATACTCGCGCTCCTTCAACTCGACCGCGCTCAACGTCACCTGGGACCCCATCGACCAGTCGAGGGACCGCCTTCGCGGCAGGCTAATAGGCCACCGTCTCAAATACTGGAAACAAGAAAACAAAGAAGAGGAATGCATTTACTATCTGTCTCGAACTACCAGAAACTGGGCTCTCATTGTGGGATTGCAGCCTGATACTTATTACTACGTAAAGGTATGTATTTACAATAAACAATAGCAATTCTTAATTTTAACACAAATAATCTTACATTTATTTATCTAATAATTTTCAGGTAATGGCATTTAATTCAGCGGGCGAGGGTCCGGAGAGCGAGCGATTCCTGGAGCGCACGTTCCGCAAGGCGCCGCAGAAGCCGCCCGCCTCCGTCAACGTGTGGGCCGTCAACCCCAGCACCGTGCGCGTCGTGTGGCGCTACGTGCAGCCCACCGACGAGGAGGAACCACTTATAGGATATAAGGTACTAGCTGTTGCTCGCGAATTCGCCCGCGTGAAATTTCAAAGTAATACAAATTGTAGCCTATTTTACTCACTGACAACGTAGCTTTTTAATTGTCAAATTACTTTTGATATCGGCCCAGTAAATTTTGAGTTATTTCAATACATACAAAATACCAATCTCTTCTCTTTATAATATTAGTATAAATAGTATAGATACAGATTTACAGCCTCATATAAACGAAACCTTAATGTCGTCTATAAGAAATCTAATAACAATTAAAAATGTAACATGTATTTAAATGTTTTCTTTCCAGGTGAGAGTTTGGGAGATCGACCAAGACATGAGCACTGCTAACGACACGATGGTCGCGGTAGAGCAGAAGTTGGAGGCGTACGTGACGAACCTGACACCGGGCAAGTCGTACAACCTGCGAGTGCTGGCATACTCCAACGGAGGTGACGGCCGCATGTCCTCGCCGCCTATCACCTTCCAGATGGGCGACTACCACAGCGACGCTTACGGATATTACGTAAGAGATGCTGCGTTACAACATACAGCTATCCCACTAACTGCTCTCTTATTATTGTTATCCAGTATACATTTTTACAATTATTTGTGAGTAATAAGTCATCTATGAGATCTGAGTTTGATAATGAAGCTGGTTTTTATTGATATCAACTTTGTAAGCAATTATTTCCAATTAGCAGCTATTTCCAATTTTATTTTTTACATTATGTATTTTTGTGTTTATGTAGGTTGTGATATTGTGTCCGCCCATTGTGTTTATTTTCGAAATAAGTTGACTTTTTTTTATTTTATTATCACAAAAAAGTGTCTAATTATTTTATACAGTACGGTTTATTTGTATTATCTAAGCTAGATTTAAGTGAAGTTGATCATTAATTTTGACTGTTAGAGCTTTATTTCTACTTATAGAATCTGAAAATATTTTTGTACCTTAGAAGTAGACAATAAAAATTCTAGTTTTTATGATATTATTTTTTTTGGTGTCCATGTCGATGTGAATCTCTTAGATAACATACTTCTGATATTCTGCTTGTATTATGTACCACCAATCCGAGCCATTTTTTAAAATAATGTATCTAGGTTAAGACTAAAATGAAATTAGTGGGCATATAATTTTTATATCTGTAAGTTCAGTACAAATAACTTTAATTTTATATCTAACCATTTACTACAATTACAACCAATATAATGTACTGTGTAAACGCTCTGTATATTGCTTGTTGGTATTTAAATATGTATATTTTTGTACGCCAGAACTGCTTTAAAATGTCTCATATCAATTGTATGTAAAGTTAAAAATATGTTTACAATAAATATGTCCACACAGTTCAATGTTTCATTTATACTTTGAATTTAATCCAGATATCCATTTTTTTTTATTAATAGGACAATCATTGCCACAAAAAAACTACAAAAGAAATCATACATACAGCAACATTAAAGCTAGTAAAAAAAGTGGCAAGCTCAGCTAATGCAAGGACGTCGCAGGCCGTTTCTGCGCTGGATTTAGATAGCCCCTTTACAATTGACACATACTAATTTTATCAATGCGAAAGTTTAGATGGATGGAGAGTTTGTAGTTTGTAGCCTAAAACGGCAGAACTGATCTCGATGAAATTTGATATAGATCTAGATAGTCTGGAACATAGGCTATTTACTTTTGATTTTTTTATTCCCCGCGTGTGAAAGCTAGTAATACTGTATTTAACAATAAGCAAAGGCTCCTAAAAATAAAAGGGAAAATGTACAAGACCATCGTAAGATCCATCATGATGTAAGGAACTGAATGTTTGGCTATAAAAGGGATGGATGAAAAGAAACTACGTGACAGAAATGCGAACGTTAAGATGAATGTGCGATACGAAATGAGTATAGAGGAAATTTCAGAGTAGCTCCAGTGGTAGACAAATTAAGAAGTAAAAGGGAAGCATAGTATGAACATGTTATGAGTAGGGATGAATCGCATGTTACAAGGAGAACGTTAGTTATGCCACTCATAGGTGCACCGATAGAGTTAGACCTAGAAAGAGACGGATGGATTGCATGAAAGGTGACATGATTAAGAAGAAAGTGATGACAGATGACGGATGACGGATGATAGAGTTATTTGGGGGACGAAAATACGGTGCGCCGACCATATGGGAGTTGGATAAGGTAGGGGAGATGATGATGTCTATGTTTTACAATAAGAGTTACATGAGAGATATATTTTATTAAATATCATTGTCACAATTTTTTGTGTTTGATCTTACGTTTTAAACATTTAGCATCAACAGTATCTAAACTGTCAGAATCGTTGGCCACTTTTCTTTTTAGTAAAACTTCGTCGTCTGCGGTTTGTACTTGCTTCAGCGGCAATAAGCCGACGGCAAACGGTATATCTCCTTCTAATGTAGAATTGTCATGATTCGAGCAAGGCTCCATGTTTTCTTTATTAACTTCATTTTCTTGTAATATATCATCCCACTGATTAGAGGAGTCGATGCGCTCCGTCAAATCTATTATAGGATCTGAATATGTAACGCTCTTATTTTTGTCATCACTATGTAGATTGTTTGATTTGTTTGAAACATTCTCCGTATCACAATCTTTTTCAAGAACATTTTCGCTTACTGTTACATTGTCCCATTGTAAATTACTCTGTCCGCTGTCTTTTGTTGTCGCCGTGCTTGTGTACTCCGTTTGGTTCAACTCACATACGTCTTTCTGAAAAACTTCTTCGACGTTAAAATCGTTATTCATGGTCGAAGTTTCTTTCTTATCAGTTCTGTTGTCGAGCTTTATCTTTTCTTCTATGTTCATTAAATCTTTAATTAAATCGTCTCGCTCCTGCACCCTTTTGTCTAACTCGTCGTGATCGTTGAAATTGTTTCTGACGTCATCGTTTTGTTTCGAACTGGAAATTAGACAGTCGAGAGGATCTTCCTTGAAGTCGGAGCTTTGTGGCAGCGGCAAACTAAAGTCGTAGC